AATAAGACTTCCCTTATAGAGTTCTTTTAAGGATTAAATGAGTGTATAAAGCAGTGTTTGCTCAAGGGTATTGGCTATTACAATATGCTTAGTAAGGAAAGGATAGTCGTCCCCTCTTCCTCCTGCTAATCTCTTGCCAGCATCTCAGACTGCCCTCAGAGGGTGCTCTGGACTGCCTGCCCTGATCCTTCTAGCTACTTGGAAACCCCAGAACTGGACCCACATTTCTGGGGCTTACCCCCTGCTGCTGCCGCTGGAGCACTGCCAGCTCCTGCTGGTACATAGCCGAGGCAAAGGGGTACACTGGAGGCAGCTGGGCTTCAGGGCACAGCAGCTCCTTCACAGTGTCAGCTGCCACTCCCCTCTGGATGGCTTTGTTGATCCTTCGCACAGCCTGGAGCACTGCAGGGAAGAAGAGCAACAGGCTGCACGGGTGGGCACTCAGTGTCATCTCCACTCTCCTGGCCAACTAGGCTCTGCTGGGGATCTCTGGGGGAAATGGCTTTGTAACTGCTCTCAAAAACCCTTCTGCTAGGTTCAAAATGCATTTCTAAATGTTCAGGAGGAAAAAGGGCTGGGTTGCTTTAAGAGGAGGCTCCATAAGAAGCAATTTGTCAGGCCTAGAAGTAGAGTAGCTCGGCATGTAACACAGAGTGACTGTCATGGCAGAGGTGAGTTCCTAAGGTAGTGAGCACAAGATTGACAGGGGGGCTAATGGAGCGTAACTAAGATGAGGTTAGGCAAGGGGCTCCAGGGACCAAGCCTTGACAACAGCTCAGAGGAACAAGGAACCAGCTCCAGGGTGGAGCCATTTGGGTTGCAAAGAGTGGGAATAAGCTAAAAAGGAGCTAGATGCATCAATGTAATTTGAGTTTACAAACTCTGGGGCTTATAAAATGCCTAGCAGATATGGGCATTGGCATCAAGGATCGCACATCTGCTGGAGAGAAATAAGCATAGCAAAATACCTACAGTGTGCATTCCTGCCAATGCCATGTTAGAAGTCCATTCCCCATACCCAAACCCCTTCCTCGCAAAATGCTATGGCAGTGCAGGGAAGAAAGGATTTTGGCTGGAAGAGAGTAGGACGACTTCACAGAGGAGGAAGGCTTTGAGACAGCTCTGGAGGATGTTTTTACCTGCTTCCAACAGGTAAAGGTGTGAGAGAAATGTAACAAAGAGGACCAGAGGCCTAGTGATGGGAAAGGCTGGGGGGCACTCAGGAAGAACAGGTTGTTTGGCTCAGCTGAACCTGGTGGAATGTGAACAGAAGAGATGGGGAAGAACTCTGAAAAGGTCTTACCTGCCAGGCCAAGAAGATAGGACTAAAGTATAGGCTAAATAATGGAAGAACCCGTGAAGGTCTGAAGATGGTCGTCAGGGAGATAAGATCAGATCAATGCTTCAGAGATTGCTCTGGTAGCAACAATCAGGAAAGAACTGAGCTGATTAGGCAAGCAGTAGTCAGGAATGGCCCGGGGGCTAGTTAGTGAGCTAGTATCTGAAAGCTCTCTTAGGCAAAGGTAAATGGTTACTGAGCAACCTCAAAAGCTGACAGCAAGTCCAGGCTGAGTCAAGCAACTGTAACAGGTCAGGTGTCCACAGGCTGCTTGCTGCACTGTGCCTCGGCACCCTCTTTCTCTTCACTCTTGCGGTACAGATTGATCTCTTGGAGGGAGACAATTACTTAAACACATTCTCTTAATAAAGAATTATATTAGGCCGGGCGCGGTGGCTCACGCCTGTAATCTTAGCATTCTGGGAGGCCAAGAGGGGAGGACTGCTCAAGGTCAGGAGTTCAAAACCAGCCTGAGCAACAGTGAGACCCTGTCCCTACTAAAAATAGGAAGAAATTAATTGGACAACTAAAAGTATATAGAAAAAATTGGCCAGGCATGGTGGCTCATGCCTGTAGTCCCAGCTACTCAGAAGGCTGAGGCAGAAGGATTGCTTAAGTCCAGGAGTTTGGGGTTGCTGTAAGCTAGGGTGATGCCACGGCACTCTAGCTGGGGCAACAGAATGAGACTCTGTCTCAAAAAAAAAAAAAAAAAAAAAATTTAAATTAAAAAAATTAAAATAGCCAAAGGAATTCAAGCAGGTTGAAACTGTCAAAAATACAGGTGAACTGCCTAAAAGGAAACTGCCTGCTCCAGTAGACCAGCCCAGGCTCTAAGGCCTTAATGAACTTATCCATAGTGTCCCTCCAGGTAGTAGGAATGGGGTAGACTACGTGAGGGTAGACGTCCCTTGCCATGCTGGGAGGATGGGCAGCATTTTGCATTGCCCAATACAGAAGCCAGCAAAGGATGATGGGATGTTCTTCTGAGAGCCAGTGATACTCCCAGAGTAGGCCTCAGGCCTAGAGATGACTTACTGGCTTGTTCCTGATCACCCTTCATGTTGGCTGCTGCCACACCGGCCTGGACCTCCTCCTTTTCCAGAAGCTCCACTAGGCCCAACTCCTAAAAGAGGGAAGAGATGCAGTAGAAGAGAGTCCTCCTGGGGCAAGAACATGCCTTAAGAGCTGCCAGCATGAATTCCCAGGTCCACCCAACCACCTACCCTCAATCCTACCTCTCTCCCCTTTAGGCAGAATAGCCTGGTCCACCCATTCCTATTAACCCTTCTTTAATCTTTCTTACCCAGCGAGCATCTGAAATAACACAGACAACGCAAGTATAAACAGTGTCAACAGCATTGAAGACAAGATTGCTAATCAGAGGCCCCAATTCAGCAATGGGGGGAGCACATCACTGCCAATGGGACTGACCCAACATCCTTCCCAGTCAGTCTGAGGGACGTTTAGAGGGCAGAAGCTGATCAGTCTAGTCCTCTAAGCTTTGGGGTGATTTAGCCATTTAAATAGTGAGCACTTACTGAATACAAAGAACCGACAGTGGTAATGGCTGAGTAAGAGGGCCTCTCCCATCCTATAGTCAGATAGAGGTGGCAGGTAATAGAGTCTGACCTGTGCCTTTTGCTCTCTGTCTGAGCTCAGCTGCTCCAGGTACCAGTCAGCAAAGTCTCTCCTCACCCCTTGCAGGGCCAGAGCAGGGTCTTGAAGGGCCTTAAGCAAGGCCTCAGGGCTCTGTCTTTCCAGGGCATCATCAACAATTTCTAGAGCCCCATGGACTGAAAAAGACAAGACTCCATACTGGACAGTGTGAGAAAGCCCACCTCTCACCATCCCCCAGCCCAGTCCTAGGAATCTACTTTCTTCCTGCTCTCCTAGAGTTACCCCTCCCCGTCGTCACCCTCTTAGCACAGCTGGCAGCGCATCAGTCTCATAACAGAATTACCCCTCCTTGCCTCCTGGGTTTCTGGGCCCATTTGGTTTAGCCTGAATTCTCCAGCTTGGTCTTCACAGCCTTCTCACCTTACCACCCCAGAGCCTGAGGATATTCTCACCCAAATAGGCAAATGCCCACCCATCCTGAGCCTTCACACAGCCCCTCCTGCCCAGATTGCCCCCCACCCTCAGGTATTCTCCACACTCTCTTCTCGAAGGACCCTAGTCCAACAGCCCCCAGCATCAAGATCTGAAAGGCCTGCCCCTTTGCCTTTGCCCTCTCCATGGTTCTCCATTCAAACAGAAGCCTCCCTAACAGGGACCACTTTTCTTCCAGACACTGATGGCCAGAAAGCAGAACACATACTTTTTGGACTCTGATTTATCCCTGAAGCAGGAGTTGGGCCAAAGGAGGCCATAGGGCTTTCTGGCCTGAGAGAAGCCATCCTCAAACCTCCCAGTGCAGGGGCTTACTGAGACCTCTCTACGCCCTCCTGGCCTATCTCTCTCACCGTTGACATGGTTGATGTTGCCCTGGATTTCAGCCTGAGTCAGGTAGTGGTCATAGATGTCCTGGCTCTCTCTGTCATCCTGCAAAAACTACATTGAGAGGGATCCTGAGAAAACTAATTCAATCCTCTTCTACTCTGCTCTCCCTGGCTATACATATTTCTTCTTCTGGGTGTCTTCCCAAAATCAAAAGTCAGTCTGCTCAGGACTCAGGGGAAATTGTGAGGTCTAAAGCCCTGGCATGGACACAGTTAAGCCAAGCCAACCTTTGGAATCTCCAATCCAGTCTCATCCTGTTCTATAATATATTCCACAGCTCCTCTCAGGCCTCCCATCAGATCCATCCCCACAGAACCTCTTCTCCAGTTTTCTACTCTGAATTCTCATTATTCTCCCAAATCCTTTTCCTATTTCTCTAAAATCACTGACAAGTTATGGTTTCTCCAAGAAGCAACTTTGGAACCTAGAGACAGGACAGATAGGAGTCCTGGTTTCATTTGAGACTTTCCAGGCCACTCAACTTTTCAGCCCCTACATCCAAGACTTCTCCTTACATGGTTCCTGGCATTGGCAGCCTTCTCCATCTTGGCCTGGGCCAGCAGCTCCTGGTAGATGGCTGCCAGAGGCTCTCGAAGATTCTCTAGAAGAGCACTGGGATTCTGCAAGGCAGCCAGAGTGTCCTCAACCACCCCTCGCTCCACTGCCTCATTGATGGCAAGAACAGCTGCATGGACTGGGAGGGGGAATGGAAACAAGGTCAGGAGGCCAGAATAAACCCCAGACGAGAGCACAAACAGTTGCAGGCCACTCTGACATCACCCCTTTTTCCATCCTCAGGGGCCAGGCAAACCAGGTAGCCTGATGGCCTTGCCTGTAGATGAGAGGTGGCCAGAATCCATCTGAGGGCTATGAGGCTTGGTGTCCTCCCATACCCACCAAGCCTACTCCTGGCAAGACAGAGCCCCGTCCCTACCTGCAGCCTCATCCACTGAGAGCTCATTGGCCAGGATGCCCCCGATTTTGCTGAAGGCAGGCAGCTGAAGGCCATATTTGGCCAGTTCAGAGGCCATGTTGCTGAGTTCCTCGGCTGCAATGATACCACAGGTATCTGTCAGGAGGCCCAGAACCCACAAGATCCTCCCCAGACTGTGGTGGTTAGGAAGGAGCTGGGCTTACCTGTGAATTTCACTTTCCCATATAGATCATGTATCTGAGGAGCCAATCCCAGCCGGAAGAGGAAGAGACTAGGGAAAAATGGAAGCCATTGGAAGGCACTGGGACCTATTCATTTCAACACTCTGCCCACAGTGAGATTATAGGAGATACTGTGGGGCCCTGGAGATGAAGCTCACTCAGTACCTGCCCTCAAGTTACCCCCAATCCACAGGAAGAAATGTTATCACACATCAGCTTGAGGAAAGTACACAAGCTAAATTAAATGCTATAGAGGTCTGGGGGGATTGGGGAGGCTTCACAGAGAAGGACACATTGTAGTAGCAGTCACTAGATGGAGAAGGAGGATAGTAAGGGCACAGCAAGCAGAGACCTGCTGAGCTAAGGCACAGAGGCACAAAAGGACATGTGAAGGTGTGAAGTCAGGAGGAGATGACATGGTGGACACAAGGAACTGGTCAAGTACTTTCTGTGATTTAGCCAACAGGTTGCTATGGCTGGCTGTGAGTAGACTAAACAGCTTTCACCATTCAAACTAAGTGGCTTGCATGTGGCACTCTCTGTGGGTCCTGTTCTGACTCCTTTCTACCTCAGTCACAAGCTGAAGGCCCTACCCTGTTACCTTCCTGCCTCTGCTACCCTGCTTGCCCTTTCCCCTTACACACATGGTCACACATACATGTGTCCACACACATGCACAGAAACCCGAACACAACCATGTAAATCTAAAATCTCACTCTCCTGAGAGTGCTCTCTATGGTCTACTGTCCGTCCTTCCTGCTACGTGTATTGCTGTTGATTGTTGGCTACATCAAATTACAGGAACCTAGATAACAAAATTTGAGGTTTCTCACCTGAGAGCATGGATGCAGTAGACTACCCGGGGCATGTTCTTCTTGTCATAGATGTCCGTGGTCTCTGGGAAGAAGGTCTAGAGGGGAGACCAACCATTACTGCCATGGGGACCTTTAAGCAGCACCAGATAAGAAGAGAGTGGGCCAAGAATGGGTCTTCCTGTCCAACCTGAGGGGTGTGCTCCTTTTTTGTCTGGAGCTTCTAGGTCAGTCTCCCCAGCCATTTCCAGCCAGCCCAGTGTAAAAGAAAGGCACTGGTGACACATACTAGGCCAAGATTCAGCCACAGACACACAGTCACAGGGTGCCCTGGACTAACTGAACACCAGATGGGGCTATCCAGGCTATAGGATGCAAGCTACATCCTCCAGGACAAGCAAGCCCTCAGTCATCTCATAGACACAGTGACCCTGTGTGCCTCACCGTAGACTCTCACCAGAAAGGCAGGATGCTGTGCAGCTGGCCATACTCCCGTGGAGGCCCAACAAGGCTTATATTGTGAAGGACCACAAAAGTGTCAGGTGTGTCATCCCTGTCCCCGAGCCAGAGGCCTTTGATCAGTGGGGGCCCCTCTAAGAACCAAGTTGCCCCAAGGTGGCTTCCCATACCACCTTGTGACTGTAATGAGGTCTAACCTCAAAACATCTTGCTTACGTTTAGGTTCATTATAAAGGACCAAATTTAGAGACTTAAGTGTTCTAGTCTCACTGAGGACACATGCCCTCTCTTGTTTCTGCCTCTCACCAAAGTATCTTTCTTTACTGCTATTTCCTGGCTTATAGTTCCCTTCTACAGTGAAGAAAAACAAAGCAGAGAGAAACCATACACTGTGGAATCCTATCATGCCTTAATTTGTATAGCTCTTTACAATTTGCAAAGGGAATTCGCACAGACCAACATCATATGGTAGACAGGGCAGGGATCACTGTCCCCATTTTACAGGTGAGAAACAAATTCAGATTCATATGCATCATGTGTCCAGTGGGATCTTGGGCCTAGGCTTCTAACTCAAAGTCTACCACCTATGGATGGGGTACAACCTTGCTTGATACTGTGAAATTCTGGTGGAAAGATAGGGCTGGCTGATATGAGCCCCATCTCCTGCATTACTTAGGGGCCCCTCTGCATAATGGGAACCATGCCACTCAGGCCAGGGAGCATTTGCCTCCTTTTATCTACAGGGAAGGAGAAGCAGAGAAAAAATAATAATAACCCAGTTCAAAGACAAACTGCCCCAAGGAACTCTTCTCTTAGATTAAGTTAGTTCAGAAGACACATGGAGATGGGGGCTAAAGGTCTGGGGAGACAAAGCGGGGGCTTGGGGGAATGGGTGAAGAGTAAAGATGAATGCCGATCTTGAGGCCCAGTGTTACCGAAGGCAGACCGATGTGGGCTATTGCAGACAGCCAAAAGTTGATGTTGTCTGTGTGACGGAAATGCAAGCCAGTTGCCTGAAAGGGAAGGATAAAGAAGAGAATCTATTTCCACAGTTCTTGGAACATAGGGATGGGCAGAGCCCAGACCACAGCTTAAAGACTCAAGAGGGAGGGGCAGGGAGACCCCACTCTGAGGATTTCCCATCCCCTCCAGGACAGAAACCACCAAGAATGGATGATCCACTTGGACATTTGGGAAGGATGGCACAGGGATGGGATTAACAATCCAGTAAGGCTTCCTAGAAAAGGGGGATCCGGAGCTGGGACGGGAAGGAGAGGACAGTTAGGCTTGTGAGAGCACAGAGAAGGAGCAACATGCCCAGGAAATACAAGCAGGGTGGCAAAGCCCACATGCCTCTTAGTACAGACTGTGGGCAGTTTTCCTCTCAGGCAGCTTAAAGCCCACCTAGCAGGTGCCCTTTGCTGCTAAGGATAGTATACACCAACTTGGCTGGGAGACAATGATGAATAGCTTGTCCCAGCACAATGATTAATAGCATCCCCTTTCATCCTCAAAAATGTCCAGATTTGGACAATAAATTATGTGGTCACCTTACCCTCACAGCTTTGAGAATGGGTACTTCGAGAGGAAGAAGGTAGGAGGTGGAGTCCACTATTCCCCACCTGGTACCGCAGCTGCTCCACATCATAGATCTTCTTCAAGGGAACCACGGAGGGTGCAAAACAGTGGCCCAGCTTGGCCAGCAGCACTCCGTTCCGGAGGCTCTCCTCCAGCTCCACCGGGGGAGGAAGCTCCTCCTTCAGGCAGGCCTCCATCCAGCTGCAAAGATGAGAGCACCTTCTCATCCACTCTGACAGTCCACAGTGGTTTATTCTGACTGCAGAAACTTCCCTCCTTCTATCCCCTTAATTGGCCCCTGACCCTCCCCTGCCTCCTGTTCTTGCCTTTCCCCAACTCCCCCTCTCTGCCCGTTGCCTGGCTGTTCCTACCTTCTCTCAAGCTGCCCCAAACACCTGGATCAGCCAACCCTCAGCCCTACCCACCCCAGAAAGTCTTCCCTGAAAGATCCTTAACCTGCCTATCTTCAGTGAGGCTTAAACAGACTCTTACCCTGTTACATAATATAACTTCTCACTTAGTCTGGTTACATATTTGCCTGTTGAACCAAATTGAATCCGCTCGCCTCCCTCATTTTGCATTGTTCTCTGAGAACCCAGGTACGGAAAGGTCATGTCTGCCCAAATGATCTACATGGCTCATAACCCAGCTTTGATGATGATGAGAGTGGTAGGGAACCTCTGGGTCGATGGAAGGGGAGCAGCACAAAGGGACAGAAAGGTCACAGCTCTTGGAATTACAAGGCCCACTTGCCACACCATTTCCCCCACTTCACCTCTATGAGCCTCAGTCACATAATCTTCAAAATGAGGATAACACCAGCTGTGCTGCCTGCTTCAGTGGGCAGTTGCCAGGATCAAATGAGCTAATGAATGTAAAAACGCTTTGAATATAAATGTGAAGTATTATTATTGCTGATAGTTGTATGAGGGAGATTAAAGTCTCCTCAGATGGACTCTCCAAACTTCCTTAAATATTGGAGTCTAAAAGAAAAGTATCTGTTTCCAAAGAGAGAGCCAGTCATACTTTGCTTCATGACTTCCCTGCCATAAACACCTGATTTTTCCCAATTGCCCTATTCTACCTACTTCTTTTGAGAGCATTAAAAATATACTGCTGGCAGGGTGTGGTGGCTTTCGCCTGTAATTCTAGCACTCTGGGAGGCCAAGGCAGGCGGATTGCTTGAGCTCAGGAGTTCAAGACCAGCCTGAGCAAGAGCAAGACCCGTCTCTACTAAAAATAGAAAGAAATTAGCTGGACAACTAAAAATATACAGAAAAAATTAGCCGGGCATGGTGGCACATGCCTGTAGTCCCAGCTATTTGGGAGGCTGAGGCAGGAGGATCACTTGAGCCCAGGGGTTTGAGGTTGCTATGAGCTGGGCTGACACCATGGCACTCCAGCCGAGACAACAAAGTGATACTATGTCTCAAAAAAAAAAAAAAAAAAAAAAAAAATATATATATATATATATATACTGCTGAGGCCAGGTGCAGTGGCTCATGCCTGCAATCCCAGCACTTTGGAAGGCTGAGGTGGGAGGATAGCTTGAGGCCACGAGTTCAAGACAAGCCTGGGCCACAAAGCAAGACCCTGTCATTATAAAAAATTTAAAAATTAGCTGGGTGTGGTAGCACATGCCTATAGTCCTAGCTACTTGGAACACTGAGACAGGAAAATGCCTTGAGCCCAGAAATTTGAGGTTACAGGGAGCTGTGATCGTGCCACTGCACTGCAACTGAGGTGACAAAGTGAGACTCTTTCTCTTAAAAAAACAAACAAAAAATTATCCTTTAAAAGAAAAAACTTAAGGCCGGGCATGGTGGCTCATGCCTGTAATCCTAGCAATCTGGGAGGCTGAGGCGGGCAGATTGCTCGAGGTCAGGAGTTCGAAACCAGCCTGAGCAAGAGTGAGACCCTGTCTCTACTATAAATAGAAAGAAATTAATTGGTCAACTAATATATATAGAAAATATTAGCTGGGCATGGTGGCGCATGCCTGTTTTCCCAGCTACTAGGGAGGCTGAGATAGCAGGATTGCTTGAGCCCAGGAGTTTGAGGTTGCTGTGAGCTAGGCTGATGCCAGGGCACTCACTCTAGCCTGGGCAACAAAGCGAGACTGTCTCAAAAAAAAAAAAAAAAAAGAAAAGACTTAAGCATTTATCCTGACTTTCCTGGACGAACTTAATTTCAGGATACCCAACAGCCCTAAGATGATGAGGGAAAGTTCTTCTTTACAATTCAGCTAATAAATGTGGAAGAAATGACAGAACTAGAAAATTGTCATTTTGACCCCTAATAAAATAATAGATTCTAGTGAGGACCAACAATGGATGAAGACATTCGTTGAAAAGTTAGTGAGAGGCTGGGCATGGTGGCTCGTGCCTGTAATCCTAGCACTCTGGGAGGCCGAGGTGGGAGGATTGCTTGAGCTCAGGAGTTCGAGACCAGCCTGAGCAAGAGCAAGACCCCGTCTCTACTATAAATAGAAAGAAAGTAGCCAAACAACTAAAAATAGAAAAAAAATTAGCCAGGCATGGTGGCACGTGCCTGTAGTCCCAGCTACTTGGGAGGCTAAAGCAGTAGGATTACTTGAGCCCAGGAGTTTGAGGTTGCTGTGAGCTAGGCTGATGCCACGGCACTCTAGCCCAGGCAACACAGTGAGACTGTGCCTCAAAAAAAGAAAAGAAAAGAAAAGTTAGTGGAAAATTTTACAATGTAGAGATCAGGTTATCAGCTAAACTTTCTGATCAGAGTCAGCATCACTAAAAGTGGGACAAGCAGACATTGTATCCCCCTACAAGATGTGGTATGAAACATACACTACCACCAATGAAGACTTGCTGTCAAAAATGTTGAACCCAAATAGAATTAAGCCTTTAGAGCCAACATCCATTTATAGGACATATGGGGTATAGACGAACAAACTTAATGACACAAGAAAGTAAAT